TTTTCAGCGTGTTCCTGGCCACTGCACTGAGGTGCCTTGGGTTTCATATATTGATCTTGCATCCTGCCACCTTGCTGGACGTATTCATTAGTTCCCGTAGGTTTTTAGCAGATTCCTGGGGATTTTTCTGGACACAAGACCATGTTATCTAATAGAGAAGTTTGCTTCTTTCTTTCTGATTTGGATGCTATTCATTTAATTTTCTTAATAAGTATCCTGCACCACTGCTTGGGGGCTCTTTGTCTTCTTTTTCTAACTTAACCTTTTTTGTAGCTGTGATTACTTTTTATCCTCACCTGAAGATAGGCTTATTGTTTTAGAGCGAGAGGGATGAGGAGAGAGGGAGAAACATCGATGTGAGAGAGAAACATCCATCAGTTGCCTCCTGTGAGCGTCCGACTGAGGGTCGAGCCTGCGGCCTAGGCATGTGCCCTGACCTGGAGGGAGCGAACCCGCAGCCTGGGGTGCGCGGGGTGAGCTCCACCCCAGGGAGCGTGGCCAGGCTGTTGGGACTGTTGTTGCAGCTGATTGGTGTACGTGCTGTTTATGTCGCACGGCCGCACCTCCAGGGTCGGCTGCATGCCCCCGCGTCTGCCCTTGCTGTGCTGTAGGAACCTGAGGTGCGGCACCACCGGGCCCTGCTCCCTGTCTGGGCATCGGGCATGCCCGCCCCCTGCACTTGGCCTTTCCGTGGGCAAGTGGGGAGAGCGCTGCTCCCCAGCCGCAGGAGGCTGGGCGTGCGGCCGTGCGTGCATGCGGCGGGTCTCGTCCTGCTGGTGTGTGAGCCCGCAGGCAGAGGCGTGCTGCCCCCACCTTCTGCTGGCGACTCGGCCTATCATCCAGCTTTGCCGTGCCTCAGTTTCCCCTCTTCCTCAGAGGGCTGCAACCCAGCAAACACCCATTAGGTACCTGGTGCTGTTGTGCGGATCCCTAAGGCAGCCCCTAGCTCACACTGCGCCGGCTCCTGGTGGGGCAGAGATAGGGTGGGCTCAGGCAGCTGGCCAAGCACGGCCACGCCTGGCCTCCTTGTCACCGCAGTGAGGGGCGTGGGCAGCCCGGCCTCCCTGAGCCCCGGGCATGTGAGCTGGTGGCGTGTGTGGTCCCCACACCTGTGCGAAAGGGGGCTTTGTTTCATAGTGGAGCCTCCATGGCTGCTGCCAGGTGGGCCTGATTTGGGGGCACTCCGGCCCCGTACAGATGGCCCGTGTGGACTATATCCAGAAAGCAAGTTTGCTGATAAGTTGATAGTGGATTGAGAAGGAGTCCAATTAAATTCTAAGATTTGGGGCCAAAACCAGTAAAGAAGAGAGGGTTTGGTAACTAACCTCAAAGTGAACATGGGGGCGGCCTGGGAGGGAGCATAGGGCGTGGCTGGGTGGGCAGGCGAGCAGGCAGCAGGGTCTGTGCCTGGTGTGCAGGGCGGCCCAGCCGCGCATCCCCAGGACAGGTCGCCGGAGTAACGGGCTCGGCCTGGAGGAGCTGGCGTCTGTCCCCGCCCCTTGCTCAGGCCTCGGCTACGGGGCCCCTGCAGACGCCTCCCGGTTAGTGTGTCCACGGCAGCCCCCGGTTCTCTGAGACGAGCCACTCTACCTTTCTGCCCAAGTCGGGGAGTCAGTGCTCAAAGTCAAAACATTCTGGAAAAGCAGAAGGAAGAGCCTCTTGCACGCGGGCGGGGAGGCATGTGGGGCACCCACTGAGCTCCACTCAGTGCGGGACACAGCCCTCCGCCCTCCGCCAGCACATGCAGCTGTTTCAATGTTATCCTATCTAATAAAAGAGAAACATGGTAATTGTCGTATGACCGCTACTTTTCCCATTGGCTAATCAGGGTGATATGCAAATTAACTGTCAGCCAAGATGGCCGCCGGCAGCCAGGCAGCTTAAACTGAACATGAGGCTTGCTTGCTTCAGTGACGGAGGACTGCAAAGTTCCCCACCTGCCTTGCGGCCTCTCAGCCTGCAGTTTAAGAAACATAGCAAATAGAAGCTTAAAAAAAACCCAGAAACCAGCTTTCAGGGAGCTGGGATCTCAGAGCTGGAGTTGATACAGAGTTTCGATTGTAGAACCGAAACAAACCAGATACCTGCTTTTAGGAGCGGAGGCCTCAGAGCTGGAGCCTCAGAGCTAAAGCTGGCCAGGAAATAAAAAAAAAAAGAAAAAAAGGAGCAGTTAGGAGCTTCAGCCCTCAGCCCCTCACCCAGACTGGCACGGCCCCCCAGTAGGGACCCCCACCCTGAAGGGTGTGTGCCCAGCTGCAAACAGCCATCATCCCCTCACCCAGGCTGGCCAGGGACCCCCGTGACGACCCCAACCCTGATC